TGCTACACATTAATCTTTTATTCCATCAACCCTTCATTGATCATCATAGTCAAAGAATCTGCAAATTTGATCACATCCCAAAATCAGGATCAGCGGTATTCACTAGGAACTTAACTTATGTAAGGAAAGGTTCGAGGGCAAAAAGGCTATATTACACTATGATTAAAGAAATTGAATGGAATACTAATTCTTACTCACCTCCTAACCAAACCCGCGATCCAAGAATCGAATTAATCGTCTATTGGAATCAATGTATTATTATCGCATCATAGAATCGGTCAATTGAGATTCCTGGAAGTTTTTGAGAAAGAAGTAAATCTTTACAGCTATTAAGGTGAAGTATTTCATGTGGCTTCTAAACTATAAATTTTTTTATAATGTACGAACAATGCAATTAATTAAAAAAATCCTTGGTCGAAATGGCCTTTCAAAATAATTAAATGGGAATTGTTGAATGAAGAGTCGTAATGAACTTTTCGTCTCAGTTGATGGTGTATAAATTTTTTTCCAACTGTAGATCAAGACTTCAGAGGCTTGATTAATATAAATGACGTCTCACTAAACCCAAAATATACAGAAAAATTTAAAAATCTACAGATATAATGAATTCAAAATTTTTTTTTTTTTTTGCGAACACGTAAAATGCATTTTATACTGTTAATATATGAAAAGTTAGAAAATCAGGTTGTTTTTATGTAATTACTTAAAGGGACAAAGATCAGCTACCATTTAAAAAAGAGTAGGAGCAATTTATGACATTATTATCTTGTGCATGTGAAAAATTGTAGACATGCATTGATCGTCATTATTTGATTAGTTTTAATAGATTTGCTTTGACAAATTCTTTATCAGATTCGCCATATTTCAATTTATTAGACTTTATTTTTCTCAATAACAATAAATTTATCAATTCAAAATTAGTTTAAACAATTAATATTACAACAAATAGATAAAGAAAATTTTATTGGCTTTTTTTTTTTTTAATCAATTATTATTTTAAACTTTCAACTTTAATTAATCTAAATCAAAACTCATTATCCACAAATTTTATATTTAAAAAATAGCATGTGAATACAAGTGAAAAACCATGCAGATAGTTACTTTAAGTTAAATTATATGTCGGCTAAATTATTAAAAAGTTTACTTTTAAAATTTTTTTTTTTTTAAATATAGAGGTATTTATTTTTTTCATTCGACTAATGTTAACAACTACACCAACTACGCCACCTAATTAATTTTTTAATAAAATTTTTATTATTACGCTCTCTTGTCATTCTTTAATTATATTATTTAATAAACACATTCGTTTTATTATTAAAATGGGCTTTTATAAAAAAATTGGTGGTGAAAGTTATTATGACTTATTTGGTAACTTAGAAATTATGTCTACGCCTTCAACTCCAAATATAAATGATGATAAAACTACTTTTAATATCGCGAATGAATCAGCAAAGGATATTAATGATGAAATGGACTTCAAACAATCTCCTACGCAAGATGAATTTTTTTCCTTTATAAATTTAAATGATAATATTGAACATATGGAAAACAATTCTGATGATAATTCTTCCAAAACGGATTCTTTTGATGAATTAATACATATTGAAGATAATGAAAGTAAATCAAGAATATGCATAATCTGCCTATTTAATGATAATAATAAAGTTTTTTTTTTATAGATATATGTGTAGATACTGAGGACTCGGATGATGAAAATGAGATTATGAAAATTATAATTGAGAAAAATAATAAAATATGTCATTCCATTTGTGCAATTATGGTTATGAATCCAAAAACTGAAGAGATTAATAAATGTCAAAACCCAAGTATTCGGAAATTATGGCAGTTAGTCAGAATTTGGGAAATTAATTCAGAATCTATTAAAATAGGAAATGCTGAACCTAGTAAACTTAGTGTTTGTAAAATACATTTTAATTTAGATCAGAACTTTCATGAAACAGGTCATAAAGCAAAAATATCAACAGAACAATCTATGATTACAATTAGAAGATGTCTTTTTTGCAATTTAGATATTTATATTATATTTCGTGGAAAATTATGTTATTCTCATTCTTGTAATTTAATTAAAAAAATCTTTTAATTCCTTGTCTAATGCAATTTTCATGTTTAGCAATACAATTAAGTCAAGAATCATTTATTTTTAAAAAAATCTCAGAACAAAAAAATTTAAAATATCGTTATATTT